AGTATTTTAATTTATTCGTCCCTTGTTGTGATCAAACGATCGAGCGGTTGTGAGCAGAGGCTCCGTCTCGTCTCTCACCGAGCAGAACGAGGGGGGAATTACTGTTCGCATGGTAGAGTGACGATGATCCTGTAAGCTGCTTTCGAAGAACTTTGAACAGAAGAGGTCGCCTCTTTACTGCCATTTTTTGTGCAACTTGTTTCAGTGTAAATTATCAGAACTATTTGAGTCCGCGGCGATACATTCGACTCCCCGAGCTTTATTCTTTGCAGTTCTTGATATTTCTTTCGAGCAAATTTACCGGCTCTTCTTGGAGAAAAAACATGTACCGCTCACAGCTGCAGAAGTAAATGACCAAGTACCCAAACATAGTATTAGACTGGAAAAAAGTCATAGAGTTTCAATACAAATTTTAAATCGTAGCGTGTTCACAAAAGATAGACTATATCGTCTTGGTATAGTTGATTCACCAAACTGTGCTTCCTGTCATGATGAAGCTGAATCCATTGAGCATTTACTCGGCTTCTGCACGAAATCTGCCGAGTTTTGGAAACATGTCCTGGCTACGGAACAATAATATCTATGTTGGAACTTTGACCGAAACAGATCTGATTTTTGGAATATTTGATGTTATGGAGGATTTTATCTTGATTGCATCACATGTTGTTACTTTTAGAATATTATATTTATTATAGGAAGTGCATGAATAGACTGCCTTCTGTTCGTGTGTTTTTTTTTTTTTTTGCCAGAGCAGGATGCTGATATAAAATTCTGTTGTAGTAGCTGTAGTAGTTGTGAGAGTGAGTGCGAGTTTTTCATTTTTTCGTATGAATGCGAGTGCAATTAAAGACGAGTAATACTTGAAAATTCTCTGAAGATTTTTCAAATATCACGAGTATTGTTGCTCGAGCTTTCATACGATTACTTATTTATGGGCTGCGGTCACATCTGGGCTACTAACTATAGTTAAGACGGGAATAACTGTAGTTAGCTATTTCGGTAATGTGACCGCTTTTCTGCTCGCTCTAACTATAGTTAGAAAATTTACGCCTCAGTGATCCAAAACAATACAGACAATACAGACAACCATTCAGAATGTAACAATTATTTTCGCACGAGCGAGATGAGTGTATATAAATTTGCAAAATAAAAACCAAGCGTGAAACGAGGGGAAAACCAAAAACAACAAACAAAACATTTACATACAATAAGGTAGCAACACGTGTAGCCAATTGTACAATTGTATTGCCTTCTTCGGCGGCGAGCGTAAGTTAAAATTCTCAGCTTATTTCTCATTTTTCTCCGACGGTTTGCCGCTAGAAAAAAAGAAATAAGAAGAGAAACTAGACACACTTTACGTCGGTCAACCATGTTGACGTTTCACGGATCAACAATAAGGGCCGTCACGAACCTCTTTTAATTCTGACGTCATCCATAGGCTAATTAGAGCTAACTGTAGTTAACTGCGTGGTGTGACCGCAAAGGCGACCGAAAGCACTAACTACGGTTAGGTATGACGTCACGTAACTTGAGACTAACTTAGGGTTAAACTTTAGTTACATCGTAGATGTGACCCCAGCCACTATGTGAC